GCAGGGTACAGCTTTATGAGTTGCAACCTTCCAGGACTTCCGATATTCTGAACTCAATGACGCTGTCTGTTTAGCTTCTCAGTTTTCTTCCTTGTTTTCTAGGGATGGGGCTTGCGGACAGCCAGGGCAACTTCCATCACACAGACAACAAAACTTCATCTGCGTACAGAGTTAGGCGGATTTCTCAGCATGGGACAATAAAAGCTACAGGGCTCAAGGGTTTAAGGTCAGAAGATGTGAATAACAGAGGTCTGTTTACTAGCAGGGAGGCTGGTATGGGACTCTCATTACAATATCATGACCATCAAAATGCCAAATGGGGAGTGTGCACGAGACCAGTGACAGTCACCCATTTAAGGGCCTGGTGCACCCAGCACCAGCCCGAGCAACACGAGTGGTGCTGGTCGTCCTGCAAGGAGCAGCCCTGAATTTGAGCTGGACCATGTCTACAAGCTTGCTTCCACTGATCTCTGGGAGAGACCTACAGTGGTAGAAACACCATGTCCCCTATCTGTGTTGTGCTACGGTTGGGCCTCACGCGGTCAGGTTGCCAGTGAGCCTTGTCTGCCTGAGCCTGCCTGTGTGCCACTGTGCCATCTGCTAGTCGCCCCCCAGCGCGAATCAGGAGCCAACGGCACCTCAATTCAGGCTGTGGTGGCGGGCCGATGCGTCCACTGAAGCCAGTGACTTTTCCCACAGCTATCACGGTCCCCAAGTGGCACATCATAGAATGAAAGGGCGATCGCTAGATAAACTAGAAGGGGCCCAGGGGTGGGGTGCTGTGGAAGCTGGCTTGGGGTGAGTGCAAATGGAAGTCCCGCCGCCCCCCCACCAGGGGCAGAACAGGCCAGGGTCACTGGGCCAACAGTGAGATGTGCTTAGGAGCCAGAGCTACTGAAAGGCCCGCTGCACTCCCGGTGGGAGGGGACCTCCCCGCTGACACTGCAGCAGCTGTTTTCAGGAACACCTCAGACCCTGAGGCAGCACAGGGGTGGGGCACCCACATCGAAACCCAACACCTGCCGGACCCCACGGGATTTACTTGATAAAGCAGAAGAGTCAAATTCAAAAGATACACGCTAGATTAATACCTACCTAATAAACACATTTTATGGGATTTCTTTTGAAACAAAAATCCCTTTTTTGACAAACATTTGCGCAGGTGGCCTCCCTGTCACTGTCCCCCTGCAACTCCAGCTGAATCTCTTTTCAAGAGGAGCTGAACAAGAGGCAGAAGTCACCTGGTCACGTTCCATCCAGTGCACACAGAGCCTGCCCAGGGCTTCTGCAGCAACTGGCTCAGTGTTCACACCCAGGAACATGCCTCGCTGGACCGTGGGCCACACAGTGCTGCCCGAGGCATGGAGTTAGTGCGTGGGGATCAGTGCCTACCCTCTCCTGGTACACAGAGGAGTCCTGGGGACCCCCAAGGCAGGCATTGGGCATCTTATCTCATTTCAGCTGCTCAGTGACCTGGGGTGCAGCGGCCATGACCCCTGACACCTGATCCTGGCAGCTAGAGGGGCTGGGTGACAGGTCTGGCTGACCAAGGTGCAAATGCAGAGGCAGAGGGGCCTCTGGGCTGAGTGCTGCACGGTCTGGGGAACCAGAATGCCTATCCCTGCCCCGGCCCGACCCCGGCTACTGCTCCGACACTGTACTTCAGCAGCTAGAAAACCAGGCTGGGGGAATTGTGGCATGGTGTCCCCGGCAGAGAGTGGGGTGGGAATGTGACTATTAAGACAGTGCAGACACTAGAGGCCTCCAAAACCCAGGGGAGGCAGCCTCCTGCGCCAGAGGCAGTCTGCCGAGCAGCAGAGACAGACCCCATCTCTCTCAGGGATGCCTTTGAGCCGTGTCGGAGTAACTGGGGAGACAGAAACCAACACTGCTTCCAACACGAGGCCATGAGGAAGCTAGGGGAGGCAGGCAACTAACTCGGATGGCTTGGGGTGCTGCTCAGGCGACAGATCTGGGACAGAATCTAAAACGAAAGGGGCACGAGTCAAGAAAGCACGGCTTGAGTGGACAAAATGGTTCTGCGCAAACGTGTGGCGATGCATTTCTGGAAGTTCTGCTAGGATCAGAACACACTGATGAAGAAGGCGAAGGGGCCGGGGCTCTGACTGTGGCCAACAGACTGGCACGGGGACAGCCAGAGATGCGTGGCTAAGCAGGTAGGAGGAATATGGAGGGAGACACATACAAATAGTACCTCTGTTATTTTCAAAGTACCCCTATTATTTTCCTCTCCATTCCAAAATAAATCATTTATGAATCTGCTTGTCTGCAAGGAGCTTAGGAGACCCTGAGCCACCAGTTCCTTGCCACAGGGCAGGGTTCTCCGGCTGGCACTACCTGCCTGCAGTCCTGGCTACAGGGAGCCACCCTTGGTGCTTGTGCTCAGTGGAACACTCAGGGGATAGAGGGTACTCACTTTATCACGGGGCAACTTGTTCTGAAAGTTCTAGAAAGGAGACCAGAGCCCCGACTCTGGCTTGAAGGAGGCTCTCTGGAGCTCACACACATCTATTCCCACAGCTTCGGCCAGGCCAGAAGGCCCTCAGAGCGCCTGGGGGAAGCCCACAGCCTTCCACCTGTCCTGCTTTGGATGGGGCCTGGACTGGGATGGTAGCCATGGCTGATCGACACAGCACACAGGAGTCTGAAGAGCTCACCTGCCAGACCGAGGCTACCCCTCTAAACAGCTGGCTCCTGTTCAGATCACGCATGACCTAAGGTCCCAGCTCCTTTCTCTTTCAGACAGCCACTGTGGCCTCTGAACATAGGCATATGACTTCCTATTCAGCCATCAGTCTGAAAAGCCCTGGTGATCCCAGCTCCCAGTCCACGAGCCTCCCAGCACACACCTGTCTTTGGTGTTGTTATACAGGGTATCGACTTTTGAGAGGCACCTTCTGGGACACCCCACCCTAAGCTGATGAGGGCCTGCTCTTACCAGCACTGTCTAGCCATGACTATCCAGCCCATTTTCACACAGAGACACTCACAACGACTTTTTCAAATGCCTGAGATGGGCACAAGCTGGCATGGCACTCTCTGCCGGCCCCCCTACATGTCTTAGGCATGATACAGAGGCAGGGCTCAGGGTTCACTGTTATTTGTAACAACGTCCACGCAGGTAGGGACGCTGCTGCCCAGGGCTACCGGGGGTACAGATGGCAAGGAGCCTGGGCCCGGCATCCCCTGGGCACAGCTTCATCAGTGAGAAGAGAGCAGTGAGCCAGGCATGTCTGACTATGGTAACCCCCGCGCTGACAGCCGACGGAAGCGAAGGGGGTGAGGAGAGCTACCACTGCTGACCGTAAGGCACCCCAAGTGTCCAAGGACATCATGTCAGGGAAGACGTACAGTCCCCCATCAGCAGGTGCGAGGCTGAGCCAAGCTTAGGGCCAGAGCGGATATCTCTTCCAGCTCAGAGTCCCCAACAGCCAGGCCTGTGCTTACCCGAAGGGTAAGGCATTCTGCAGACACTGCCCCAGAGCAATCAACAAAGCTGGGGCCTGAGCTAAAGAGGTGGGCCTGGGTTCTTGGGGAAACCACACAGAGGAAATGGCTCTTGTCCCATAGCCACGGCCACAGGCGCTCAGCCACAGGCGCTCAGCCACAGCCGCTTCAAGAGCCTGTGTCACTCTAGTGTCAGGCATGCTCTTACTCTGAGGAGCACAAGCAGGAAAGGGGGATCTTGGGGATGCACGCGGCCAGTCTGGTCCCTTACTCATTCCATGTACGGTGAGGTAGGGCTTTCAGGATCAGCCACTGGGACCACTCAAGGCTTCCATTTAAGCACGCCACTGCACAGACATGGCCCCAAACTGGATCATTCCTGCAAGAGATAACTCGTAAAGGGACGGTGTGTCCGCCTCAAGTTCCTCCCCCGACACAGTGCTAGGGGAGCTGGCTGACATTAGACATGTGGACAAGGCATACCTCATCAGGGAAGCGTGTCAGATCCCTCACGTGCTGGGAAACACCTCCAGGATTTCATTTAAAACTTGGGCTAAAAAGAGGGCAGAGGTGTAGCAATGGGTTTCTGTTCCCGTCGAGATGAGAGGTCATTGTGAGACAGCAGTGCATCACTGAACATGAGAGCGCAGCAATGGCAAGCATCTCAACCGCCCCTCAAGGACAACTGTCCTGCGAGAACCCACGAAGGTGGGAGCCCGCTCCTACACGGTGGGGGTGAAGTGTCTCACATTTCTTAGGGAGACTTTTAGAGACTCTCTCAAAGTTCAAGTTTATAGTCAGTACGAGGCGGCTGCTCTGGGAGAACCAGCGTCCCTGCCGAATGAAGGTGCTGATTTTGAGTAGTGGCAGAGTGGAAGGTGCGCCTTTGCAAACTGTGCCCCTCCGGGAGGCCACCTGCTTGCTCGCAGGGCTCTGCCGGAGGGCAGAACGTGCTGCGTTTTTCTGCGTTGGCAGGGTATCAAGCATAATGAGGTAGCTGAGAACAGTTTTTCCTATAAACACAAAGAACGAGGGAATAAACGCACGTACTTGTGCTCCGATTCAACAGGAAACACGCTAAAGCCAGCTATGGAGAGCTGTGTTTCCACCAAGCTCACTGGTAACGACACCCAAGTTCCTGAGGTATGCCTTATCTGTAACTCATGGGTCAAAGAATGACAGCAATAGTCACCGACCATTAGTGAGACGAACCTGTGCTCAGAGGGCGTGAGTGATTTCAAGTGGCCACTTGGCCCCGGCCCCGGGCCCTGCAGCTCATCAGAGCAGTGTGCGCACAGCCTCGGCGGCTTCCTCCTCCCCCACCCCGACTGATTCACGGCAATCGTGCTGTAGGAAAAGCTCAACAACCTCGTCAATTATGGGCACCTCAAAATCACATTTATCGTCTGGTCAAATCTCAGGGAGTAAATCTCAAAATAAATCTCAAAATAAAAAGAGAAGGTAGCAAATGTTTTTCACTGAGTAACTACAGAACACAGTTTCATTTGTAGATGTATGAGAAAGGGAAGGAGTTTAAAAGTTCAATTATTAGAGGCCATTGACAGAACTGAAGAACAAATATTCCTAAAAGTAGGCCGAAGAAATAGAAGCATAATTTAAGTATAGTTTTAATCCTCCTACATCACATGAATGGAACTACCACAATGAGACAATATTGAGATCTATTTAAAATGAAAGACAATCACTTAAGAAAAATACAAAATTTCAAAAACATTTGCTAGCTGACTTGCAAAAAGTATAGAAAAAGCCAACAGTTCAAGCACTACAGAGTCGTGACTGCCAGCAGGTGTGATGGACACGCAGGCCAACGGATCATTCATCATCCGAAGGCAGCTGCAAAGAACACTTCAGGCCTGTGAAAGAGGCAGGAAACACTTTGCTCAACGCTCAAACACGCAGCTTCCTCTTCCTGACTGATTACACGGCGAAGAAAAGGGGAACCGAGACGGGGCTTTTCGTCTAACAAGAAGTGTGGCTACCCTTGAAACACAAACGCTTATTTCTGTTCTTCACCGATTCTTAAATTTCCTGGAGCTAACCAGCAAAGATCAAGATATTTCAGTTCATTTTCTGAATAATCTACAAAGAAATGTTTGGAGTTAGTATGACTTTACAGTTAAAAACACCGCATGCCTCCCCAAATCAAGTTAGCCCAGAAGGCCGAGAAATGAACTGGTAACAAAGACTTGGCTTCTGTTTACATCAGCTACTCATATGCAGAGTTAGGAAGCTGCACCTGTTGGGCCTGAGACTGCTGCACTCTGGACTGGGGGAGAGCAGGTAAGGACGAGTCATGCATCCTGGCAAGGATTAACAGGCCCGTGTAGAAAGTGACACGTAAAATCCCACACTAGACACTACGAACACCGGTAGGGGTGCCAGGCCTCAGAAATCCCACAGAGCATCTGGAGTCCTGGGCTGTGTGCGGTGGCGACATCAGGCACTTGGTATTGTTTATTCTGTTCTGGCTTTCCACTCTAGTTATAAAGCCGGCCCATCTGTGTACAAAGCGTCTCCTCTAAAATCCAGCAAAATTAGTCATTCAGAGAGAACACAAGCCAGTGAGAAACATCCCTTGGACCACACGAGTACTCGGAGGGAAAGCTCACAGACAATGCATATATGGGAAAGCTAGATTTCTAATTTGGTCTGCACCAAAATAATTTCAATTCCACTTTTCCTTGAACTTTGTGAAGTGCTTACATATATTCACTTGCCAAACACTGACTGCCTGTCGTGTGTAAGCACTGAGGTGAACAGATGACAAACGCAGGGTCTCGCTCCACCCCGCAGTGCGTTGACGTTGCAGAGGGAGGGCACTCTGACATCTGCCTGCTGGTTCAGCTCCCAGAAGCGTGGGCACAGGCGCTCACCAGGCACAGGCGCTCAGCATCCGTCTGCAGATGTCCCAGGGCAGCTCTGCTGTGCTGGGCCCAGCTCCAGGGGCAGCCTCCAGACCAAGACAGCCCCTTCTGCAGGGTGTTTGAGGGTTCCAGCACCTGAAATCAACACAAGGAAACTGCCACCCGGATCTCTCCCCAGCTGATCCAACGTCTCCATCTGACCGCAGGGGGCCTCTTGGATCAAGAAAGGTCACCACAGCATTTCAGCACTCCTTGAGAACTTCTGGGGGATTGTTGGTTCGGTATGCTAAAGTCGGGTGTACCGAATGGACACAAGGAATGCATTTCCTACACTGTACCTGGGGATATTTCCACTTACAAATGATAAAAGTGGTACTCTTGAGCCTTCGACAAAGGGGACACCGTCCCTGAAGCCATCATGCAGTGGAACAGAACACCCAGCACAGCCCTTCACGCTCTTTGCTGGTGGCTGCTCGGTCTGAGAACGTCTGCTACCAGTTCCTGACGGTCACAGAATGTAAAGTCAGACAAGAAGCACAAGAATGTCTCTGGCTAAGTATCTCCCGTGGACCAACTGCCAGGTGGCAAACAGCTGTACAAACCATGCCACACCAAGTATCTGCCTCTGCCTCTCCCCGCCTGTCCCACACAGCAGGACCAACTGCAGGGCGACAGGCTCAGAACTGCCCAGAAGCACCAGGAGACAGAACAAGAGTAGTTTGGAATTACTATTCCAGAAGTAAACACGGACAAATGGATTTCTGAAGTCACACGGCACAACACACACGTAAGCATACGCTCACTCACACACCTCACGCTTTTTCTCCTGCCAGAATATAAGCACTAGCAAACACGCACCCAAGAATTTCATTTTAAGTTTAACACTCGTGATTTGGATGTGTTAGAGAAAGACACAATTTCAGATAGTAGGCTGCAAGGGACCCTTTAAACATTTGCTCACTCTAACCTAAGACAACTCTGTTGGTGGGACAAGGAAAACAAATTGCACTTTTCCTAAAGGTACTTCTAGTTAACACCTACAGACCTGCTCTCGCGACCAGTTCTGACATCCGCCCGGTCAGAGTGCTTCGAGAGAGGAGTGTCAGAAAGGCAGGTGCTTCAAGGCTTAAGTGGAATGTTACAACGCAAACCTGCATGAAATGAGTTATGATTTATTTTACAATACTGAAATAAGTTAAATACAAGCCTATACTTCAACATAGCATTTTAATATTTATATATATTAAAATAACAGTTTGGCACTTAGTAGCTTTTGTTGGTTATTGCATCCCATATTATGTGACAAATTTATTTTATAAACACATTATCTATTTTTTTGTAGCTACAGTGTCAAGGAACTGAATTTTAAAAATGAATAAATAACCATTTTTATAAAAATGGATTTACCAAGTCATGCAGGCACTGATAATATTGCAGTAGGAACCCAGTCGTTCCCAAATAATGCATTATCTCCATGGAGAGGCCTGGCATAGACTGCAAAAAAATTTAAATTTCAGAATTGAGGAGAACTGCAGCAACCAGAGCATAAGAGATATCACTGACTGCGTGCCTTCACGTCCCCCAGCTGCACCGTGGATGCCCAGGTGCTGCTCCCAGGGAAAGCCCTTGCAAACAAATACCTAACTGTGAAAAAGAAAGATGTTGTTGCAGGTAGCCACAGAACTCATTTTGATCAAAACACTTCCACCCAGTCATGGAAAAAATGTGCAAACACCAATGGGAACACAGCTCTGATTACAACCTCAAACTCGAACGGACACCATGAGTGTGTGGTACAGTGGGCCTGGGGCCTCTGATGAGCAACACGCAGACCTCTCTCCTTTCTCTAAGTTTCTTCTGGCAGATGGAAAATTAACGTAGCACACAGCACATAGTTTTGCAAAGCCCTGGGCATGGCCTCCGTCAGCAGCTTGTGTAACACGACTTTTGTAACACTGAGTCGACTTCCAGCAGATTTAAGAAAAAAAATCACAGATGGATCCTCTTTCTTTAATGCCTGTGGCTGGCAGAGCATCTCTCATGTGCATGTTAACAACACATAAACATTCCACATAGAAAGTCTCTAGAAGATAATGCTTGTTCTCAAAAGTACAATGAAAGAATTCGCTTATATACTTATTAATCATTAAGACAAAATGTTGCTTCTTGTAGTGACATTCTCCACAAAAAACAAAGCCATAGAAAACAATTAAAAATAAAGTACTCCATAAATAGTAAATCGATTAGAAATTTAATATTGCATAAAATTTAAATTATAAAGCAATCAAACACTTTGAGGTCCCTGATTTCACACTCAGGTGGTATAGTGTAATTTGAACGGAAAACAAAAATCTCTTACAGGACAACTTGGACTGCTGAGGACTGGCCTGCCTCTGATGGGAGCTGGGCTGAGGGAGAGCCGGACAGGCGAGGAGGAGCACAGGAAGACATTAACTCGCTCTACTAAGAACACAATAAAATGAAGTTGAGGTAGTTTGTGCTACCAGCCAAACTTTTACGTAATTTGTCTAAAACTCTTACCAATGCACAGCACTGGGAAAACTCTTAGAACACAGATTTGCCTGCGAAGACGAATTACCAGATCCTCACCACAGCAGACAAGCCTCGTATGTGCTTTCAGGCAGACGATATGAAGTAGTGTTTGATCCCTATGCATTTTGTTGGGACAGCTTTGCTTTTTTTTTTTTTTTTTTAATTTTAAATACAGTCATAGCACGCCTATATTATTTGTCCAACTCAAGTCTTCCTTTCAGAAAATTCCCTTCTCACCGACATCCTCATGTTTAAATAATGTTTTGATCAAATGAAAAGGAAGAGTGGCACGGCCCGAGCTCCTTCACAACTGCAAAGTAACACCCCAGAAAGGATGGCAGGCCACACCTCACCCAAGTGACACAGCGCCCAGCAACTTCCCGCACGCTCACAGGAGCATCACAACCTGACTACTCACCGCATCCTTACATGACTAAGACAGAATGTTATTAAAGAGAAATCTTATCTTAGTTTCAACCCATCATAATACGGCTTTTAAAAGATTCGTAAGACATAACACTAGTAATAAATAGAGACTAACTGGCTTATTGTCCAATCTAACATTTTAGGCACAAATCTTAACTCGGGCAGGGTTAGGCATAATAGATCCTTCCCAGTGCAGTAGAAAAGCAATCTGGGTGTGTCTGGATATGTTGACTTGCATATATGGTTTGTTGTTGGTTCACCAAAGCCACACACTTGAACCCAGCAGCCAGGCAGCTATGGCTCCCCTCAGGGAATGTACCTTGGTGTCTTAACTCTGACGTCTTACCTCACACCCACTCCCACTCGCCCCCTCTCCTCCCCGGTAGGCTAGCCTCCGTCGCCTGTGGTCCACCTAACTAGAGGAATGGCTTCCCCTAGGCAGTTTTTCCACAGTGACACTTTCTCCCAAACAAGAGCCGAGGCTCGAGCGTTTGAAGCATTACGAACCACCGAAAAGGTACCACAGCAACGCCCAGCACGCCCAGCGGGTTTCAGCTGCCACCTCTGTTCTCCCTGACGTAAAGCTATGTCATGGCGCTCTCGGGGCAGGATCTTGCGTTGCGCTCTGCCTCCTCTTCAAGGTGAATGGACGCGAATACGGAATAGGCCTTGCTGAAGCTGCAGGCGGAAGAGCTTGCAATTTGCAATACGTAAGGCTGCACACCCAGTGCGGCGAAGGTCAGAGGGAAGGAGTGGCTTTGTGTGGTGCCAGGTGCCCGTGCTTCGTTTAAACTCACGCACGTAGTCATAATTGGTACCTACCCAACAAAAACAAGCACAGCTGTGACAAGGCACCTCCGCAGCACCAGCAAACAGTTCCTGCAAAACCACCGCATCCTCACCTGTATCAAGATCTCCGATGACGTAAATACTGGCTCCTATGGGCACAGCTCCGTACACAAAGGAGGAGCTGGCAGGGATGCACAGGTTCTGGTCATTCAGGTAGATCCACCTGGAAGCAAAGCCGCACACAAAACGGAGAAATCAACGAAAGACCGTGTCAGCAGAACCAGGTGCAATGCCAACCTTGACTTCCAGGTAACCACAGATGTGCTTCCTGCCATACATTCCAATTCTGCCCGTGCGGGAAGGCCACGCATAGCAAAGCACAGAGTATGTACTTTCCTATCTGCTTCTCTGAGCCCGAGGTTCTGAAGCCCTGTCACGTTGCTAGAAAGCATTCCACTGTACGCACGTACCATAATTTACCTGGCCGTCTGCTGACGAGGGCACCTCCCAGCTTTCCCCACTGTGAACAAGCTGCTCTGGATATGAGGGGCAAGGCTTTCTGTGCACACATGCTCTGGTGCCCCTGGGTTCCACAGTAAGGGTACTGAACACACCAGGAAAATACCTCAGAATGTGGGGCCATGTTCTGTGTCCTTCTAAGAAAACTTCCCTTAGCTCACAGCTTCCTCCTGAAGTCAGTCTTGTGGAAATTCTACAGCTTTAGCTCTTACATTTCAACCTGACACATAAGTGCCTGTGTAAGGGGTGGGTCAGTTTGCTCTGTCCCACACAGCTAGCCGCCTTCTCCAGCACCACTTGCGGATGGCTTTTCTTTCCCTACTAATTGCCTCAGCACCTCTGTTGAAAATCCATTTAGTAACCACTAACAGGACCTTGTGCTGCACAAAGAAGTGGCTCATCTAGAGCTGAAGCAAAGACAAGATGAGCCCGTGGCATCTTGGGGTGCCAGAGAGCAGGTGCTGAGACAAGGCCAGGGCCACAGTCGCTGACGGGAGGGGCTGCCAAAGCTGGGAAAAACAGAGGAAGAAATTCCAACACCCGTGAAACTATACTAATAAGTCATTGAAAAAGCCTTAAAATATAGAGAGCACAACGGAATTTTTTCAGAAGAATTTCAACTAATATATGCAGAAGGAATATGGAAAATAAACCACCCCTTGGCAAAGAGCGCCACAATAGGCACCAGAGGCCAACTCTCCTGGGGCTGCGGAGTCAGCAGGCAAGGCTAAAGGAGAAGCAGCAGTTTTGCATATTCTCAAACTACCTCCTTTAAGATGTTAATTGCCATGAAAAAACATTTATTTTTCCAGGGAGAAATGCAGTACATAGCATCCCACATGGGTGCAGGGTCCCAAGGCTTTAGACCATTCTCTACTGCTTTCCCAGGCCACAAGCAGGGAGCTGGAAGTGAAGTGAAGCAGCTGGGATATGAACTGGCATCCATATAGGATCCTGGGCATACAAGACGAGGACTTTAGCCACTAGGCTACCGCTCTGGGCCCAGCAGATAGCATCTTAATCAAGTAACCACACTTGACCTCACCAGCAAGAAAGCACAGAGACTCGTGCTCCCACCCGGGGTGCAAGGGTGTGACGCCCATCCTGTGCTGTGGCCAGAACATACAACCTCAGCTCATCATGAGAAGTCATGAGATGAACCCAACATAGGAAATGGTCTACAAAGAGCTGACACGTAACCTTTAAGAGCATGAAGGTCACGAAGACAAGGAGACTGCGGACTGCCACCGACGAGCAGCGGCCAGCGAAGCACAGCTGCAGGACGCAGTGCAGAACCCAGCCTGATTACTGGGGAAGCGGCCGGTCCTTCACTGGGTCTGTGGGCCTCAGCCCCTGTGAGATGGGACTACATAAACATCCTGGCTGTGAGGCTTGTACTCTGAACACGTAAGCATCAGGAGAAGTTGAGTGATTAGCTTATGGGAACTCTACTTCTGCAATTTTCCTGCAAGTCTAAAATTACACCCCAATAAAAGTGGTTTTGTTTCTTTTCTGCGAGTAAATCTAGGCATGCTATGGAACAATGTTGATGAGAGCAAAGTGACCAATTTCCTGTGACTGGCTCATACAAAGGCAGGACGCAGCAGATGTCAGAGGGACCTGGGCCCACATCTGCACTGCCTTCTGAGCCACCAACATCCCTGGTTTGCAGCGGCTCAATGACAAACATAAGATGATGCCGTGAAAAGCACTGTTTTCATCTCATTGAACTCTCCTGCCAGCCTGTTACAAAGCAGCTGCCACATCTTGAGCTCAGAGAGACACAGAAGCACAGCGATTTGCTCAAGATCATGCAACGGCCCAGAAGGAAGCTTGGTGACCACATCCCTAAATCCACTCCCTTCAACAGCTGAGTCATCCAGTGGTTGAGAGCAGATGGGCCTCAGGTGGTCTGCTCGGACCGGCAAGGCAGAGTTTAGCCCCTGTCTTCAAAAATGTCCTTGCTAAAAAGAAGAAAGGAGAAATCTAACATTGAAAATTAAAAATGGAGAGCATGAGCAGATCTTGGAGAAAAACAGCTTGAAAATGTCAAACTGCAATCCTGGCTTACTCACACTTCATGGTTTTAGGACTAAACATAAATAAGGAGGTCTCAGCGTCTGAGCTCTCCCAGGCTTTGCATCAAACAACGCTGATGAGCAACTCTGCCTGTTTACAAGGCACACAGCAACTGGAGCAGACCCCCGAGGCAGCCCCACACCCACTCACGGGGATCCTGGCACTGCATCACTGAGACACACATCACACCACACAATCAGGTTTGGAAATAATTCTGAGCATTAAGCATAATTTGTTCCTGGCGGGGGCAGGAGGATCACATGGTGCTGAAGCAGTTGATGTGTATGATCCATTTAGTTTGGTCTTTAGCAGCTCAAAGCTTCAGGGTTTCACAAATTCAGGAAAATAAGGCCACAGGCTATCTATTGTATATAATGTGGAGATTCCAACCTCATCCTCAGAAGCAGCTCCTAGCCCTCACTGCAGTCTGTTCCAGCCCGTACAACTGCAGCTGTCAAGGAGTGAACCCGCTGACGGAAGGTCTCCTTTTCACTCTAATTAAAACAAACAAACAAAGGGTGCAGGACTGAAGCTGACCCCCCACCGCTGGTGCAATGGCTCGCAGTATGAGTCTGACTGAATTCACGGAGCCAACAACACTGAGGGCAACACTCGCAAGCACTGGAAGAAATCCAGGGCCCTCAGTGCATTAACCACGCCTAGCATGCACTCCAGAACTACTCAGCGGAAGAGCCAGAAGAATGAAAGCCCATTCCCCAGGGAGCAAACATTCACCAGAGGCCAAATGCTAGAGGCTGGAAGCATCAGTCAGGGAGCTAAACGCAGCTATCCAGCAAGAGAAGAGACAACATGCTCAGGACAAAAATACAGGTCATTTCAGCACAGACATTTTAAAAACCCTCAAAAAAAAAAAAAAATGGAGCCAGTACTGTGGTGTTATGGGCAAAATGCTGCTTCTGGTTCCTGTCCCTGCCACTCCAGTCCAGCTTCCTGCCGATGCACCTGGGAAAACCAATGGAAGATGGTCCGAGTGTTTGCATCCCTGCCACCCATTTGGCAGAACCAGAAGAAACTCCTGGCTTTGGCACGGCCCAGCCCTGCCTGTCACCGTCATCTGGGGAACGGTCAGTGGGTGGAGAGCACGGTCTCTCCAACCCTCCCCCTCTCTACTTGTTTTGAAGTAAATAAATCTTAAGGAAGAAGGAGAGAGAGAGAGAGAGAGAGAGAGAACAGCATATGTAGAAGGAAAAGAAATTGAACAATGCTAACTACAGGGCATGAAGCGGAAGCTAACTGCCATCACCTGTGTATGAGGTGGGCACTGGGAACCAGGGGAACATTCTGGGAAGTGGAATGAAATGGCCCAAGGTTTCGTCTGGCATGTGTCACAGAAGCACAGCTGGAGAAGGCATGTGCACAGCCTGATCACAAGGCTGCAGGCGCTGCGAGTGTGAAGGGGCGTGTGCGTCAGGGCCACGGGGCCAGTGAGCAGGGCGAGACGCCCTGCACAGGGTGGGCTCGGAGAGGGCCCCTTCTGAGTACAGAGGGCAGGCAGCTCGGCAGTACTGGGACTGCAGAGACCCCAGGGCCGAGGCCGAGACGCCAGCACTCGGAGCACAGTGTGACCGAGCCCTCGTGAAAACATAGGACCATTTCTTTGCTTTTCATCAAATAGTTTTGTTTTTGCCTTGAAACACAGAAAATAATAAGATATGGCATTTTTCCAGGAAAATTCTAACCTAAAAATAGAGAACAAAGACAGGAAAGACATGAGATTACTTAAAAACAATTGAAATGGCCTCCAACCCATCCAGACTGCTAGTCTGACGAAGAGCCCCAAGTATGCATGCACAGTGGTTTTGGGGACAGTCCATCTTGTAATAGACATGCTACTCTAGGGCAGTTTAACCAAAGATACTTACAGGAAAGCCAACAGTCTGAAGTCAAGACATGGGGGTACAGGCTGGCATTATGGCATAGCGACTTCAGCTGCAGCCTGCAGTGCCAGTATCCTATATGGGCACTGGTTCTCATCCCAGCTGCTCCACTTCTGACTCAGGTCCTTGTTAATGTCCTAGGAGCAGAAGATGGCCCAAGTGCTTGGGCGCCTGCACCCACACAGGAAACATGGAAGAAGCTCCTGGCTCTGAGCTTTAGACTGGTCCAGCTCTAACTACTGTGGCTAGTTAAGGAGTGAACCAGCAGATGGAAGGCCTCTTTCTTCCCCTCTCTCGGTAACTGTGCTGTTCAAGTAAATAAATCAACCTTTGAAAAAGAAAGTATGGTGGTGGAAAAGGAGGCCACTGCAGCCAGACTGCCTGCATCCCACCCGGCTCAGCTGCTGTGCTTCCTGTGCCTCTGTGCAAAATGGGAACCGCAGCAGGACCTACGCCAGGGCAGGCTGTTCCAAAGACAATGCAGTTTTCATCACTCACAGTGCAGACCTATGCATGCGAGAATCCAATAGATTATATGAGCATCTTTCTCCACTTTGTTCATAAACTAACTCTGGAAAACTCGGAAGTAAGGAAACCAAGGACATGCTGCCTTTATCTGGGAGTGCTGTTAAGGAGAAAGGGAGAAGAAATACTCTCAAGTTGAAGATGGGGGCCAAGTGCCTCGAACACAAACACGAACCAATTCGATGGAAACACTAATGAGCCAACGTTTCAGAGCATGCCCAGTGAGACTGTAAGACTTCACCGCCACACTCGGGCCGTGTTCCCCCAGAGCAAGAATAGAGTGTGCTGACAGAAGCAAACACTGCTCGAAGAGTTACCCACCCACGCTGTCCCCTCAGGAATCCACTTCTCAGCAAAAGGGGCCTCGCAGCGCTGGACCACAACTCAAATGCTGCCTGGGCTTGTTAATGATTCTGGACAGAAGGCCTGGAGACTCGCTGGGCCAGGTAATGGAAGCCATGCTCCGGCCCCTAGGCAGTCAGCCTCAGAGTCACCCACAAAGGCAAGAGCACACAGCAGACCCCCTGCACGTGGTGTCCCCTCACTGCCCCATCCTCTGAGGGGCTCTCACACGCGGTATGATAAATGTTTCTGAGATTGCCCTGACAGTCAGAACAAGAGGCTGGGGATTCAGCCTCCATTTCAAACACAGGAAGAGTCAGGTATCATTCGCATGTGTGCATAATGTCCCGGTAAATGTTCCAGTTTGTCTGCATGTAGACTGAACTTAAACTTGACATTATGGCACCCCCTTCTGGTAGCACAAGTGAAATACTCTCATAGGATTACACTCAGCAAATCACTCCCCCCTTGGGATCTGAACACGTGTGTTCCCGCCAGAGAAATACTGTGCGGAGAGTATAACAATCGAAGGCATGTGCACAGGGGAGAGGAGCTGCAAGATCCGAGAAGGGTGTTCCTTACCCGACAAGATACACGACGCAGCCTGTCGATGTTTTCAGAATCTCAAGCCCCACATTCCACCCGCGTCATCACCTGGTTCTGTGTCTAACCCAGGACAGGAGCGAAACTCAGAGGATACAGAGTTGACAAGTGAGACCCTGCCCTGGAAGTGCTGACAGGCAGCAGCTACAAATTCAGAGACACACAGAGCACTGTGGGAGACGGGGAAGCTGTCGCGTAGGTGCTGACAAACCACGTGGTTTTGGAAGAGGTCAAGTTCGCTGTATGAGCTACGGCAGGGAAACTCCAAGCCCCAGGGGCCACTCATGTCAGAGGGAAAGCGGCTCACTCCGATCCGTGTGCTCAGATGGTCCAGGAAAGGCAGACAAAGGACACAGTACAAAAGGCCACGCACGAAGAGCTATGATTTACACTTTTCCTAGAGCTGTAAGGAGACAAAGGATGATTCTAAGCAACTAAATGTCAAGAGCCGCTTGACATTTTTGAGACATTTCCTGGTTTTCCTGTAAATTTCCAAAACTGTGAAGTTACTGAATGAATACCCACTATACATCACACATACCTCTCCTGGATAGGTCACTGGGAAACAAACCAAGCAGAGTTAAAACAGGGCTTGGAAAGCACGAAGAAAAGCTGCTGAAGAGACATGAGACCACTCATAATTACCTTTTAAACTCATCGTGGTAGAACTCAGACTTGCAAGTGACCATCTCGTTAACTTGGATGTCCTCACGACTTCTGACTCCCCCGAACACATACAGCTCCATGGCAACACCACACGCTACCGCCCCGAATCTGCAAGGCCACAGGGCACAGCAAGCAGTGAATCCACAACTAAAGCCCTCATTTCCCAACTCCCCTGCCGTCTGCTTGAACTCTGCCAGAGCTCCACGGCCCATGAACGCGAGCATCTTCCCACTCCATAGAATGACAGGAAGTCAACAGCGACTCTACAGGAAAGGCAAGGGCGAGGCGCAGGGAGCACGAGGGAAGCTGAGGTTCTGTACCCACATTCATTCACCTCCTCTCCTTCAGTGGACAGATAGCAGTCCACTGCTGGGTCCTGGGGTCATAACACTCCACAGACTCAAAAAGTTTTCCGTAGGATCCTCCACCCATGGCATAGATTTTCTTCTTCATAGCTGCATAGCAGCCAATCTGAAAGGAGAAAACAACATTTCTTGTTAGAGAACTTGTCCCGGGGCACTTTAAGAAGGGCAACGTACTGCACAGAGTGCTAACCCCACTCCATCAGCCACCAGCTGCCTCGCTGAGGGAAGGCGACAGCGCTGTTGTGCAGAGAGCTCTGCAGACTCTCACCGCTGTCTGAAGATCCCAGGATTGACATTCCGTGAAATAGGATGCCAGTTATGTCTTATCCAGTACTCTAGCTGGAAGGGGGCATGAAGAGTCTATGCCAGGACTCCGAGGCACAAGCACCTACGGCACTGGCCCGACGAGGAAGGGGACAGGAACAGCCGGGCCCTGCCCCACACGTGTGCAAGCCGCCTGCCTTCACGCTGCACAGCATGCCAGGGTGGTTGTCACCCTCTCCGCTCCTGCCTGCTCGTTAAGAAACGGGAGGCTGAGGGCTGGCTGCTCTCGAGGCCAGTGTCTCAGGCAGCAACCACCGAGCATGGAACCCACCCAGAGCAGCGTACCCAGGGGCCCTGCCGGGATCAGCCCTGGGACATGTCACTTTCCTACCCCAGTGAGTGGCTGACTACAAAGACAGCTTTACAATGGTACCTCTTATAACATTCTCAGATGTACCGAAGGTACTACGGAAAAACTTTAACATCTAATCTGGAAACAGGCTGGTTATCATGGGCTGTATTCTCACCTTTCTAACCATGGTCAGATTGGGTTGCTTTGTCCAGGTTTTAGAATAAATATCATAACATTCCATGGAAATCAGCTCTTTGTCACCATCTTCTCCTCCTAAAACGTACAGCATTCCATCGATCTCCACAATGCCAAAGTTATGTCTCGCCTGAAAAGACATGGATGATGGTTGCACACAAAACGCCAGTAGTTGTTCTATAACAGGGTATTCATTCAAAATTGTAATCATCATTTTACTCCGGCGTTTCAGTAAGCAAGGACCAAGTTCAAAGCTGTTTCATCTAGAATATCTCTGGTTTCCTTAGCAGCTTATTCTTGCACCATGATGTCTTGAGCTACTAAAAGCCAGCAATTTCCCAGAAGGGAGAATCACACCGTGGAACCACCTGCAGAACTGTAACTTCTTAACCAATGCTAACTCTCGCCCAGCAACAACTACTTCCTTCCCCTTCAATAGGAACAGGCTGCTGTGTTTCTGAATGATATGTGAAAGACAGGAGGCAGTCATAGAAGTGTGGACCTTGTGTGGCAGGAACAGGCTCACGTGAAGGCTTTGCGGAGTTACAGGAGCCCGAACCGTTCAACATCCGTCCACCTACGATTTACTCCACATGCTCCGGTGTAATGTACGCTGTTAGCGCTGTTAGTGCAACCCCATCTGCCACCAGCGTTCAGAGTCCTCACGAAACACTGTCTACCTCCATACACAGAACTCAACAGGTCCCTGGGGCGAGCGGAGGGAGACCGCGGGGCTGAGGGCAGGCCAGGAGGACCCACGTGAGAAATCGCAGAGGCAACAGGGTGGGTGCTGGGGCATGTGAGGGCAGACATCCTGGCAGGAAGAACAGATGCAGGCTCTGTGCAAGTCCAAGGAGACCAGGATGAGGGAAGGAGGGAAGGAGGAGGAAGGGCGGGCAGCAGAGCAGAGGGCAGGGCCCTCCTTGAGCTCACAGCAAACAAAGGGCGAAGGGCAACAGAACCCTAACAGAAGCTTGTTACCTCATTCATGGGTGGCAGCGCAGTCCACGTGTTTGCATCTGGATCATACTTCTCCCCTGAGCTCAGGGTCTGCTTATTTTCATCTTGGCCCCCAAACACAAAGAGAAATCCTTCTGAAAAATCACAGCAGACAAACAGGAAATTGGACGTGGAACCCACCAAGGTGGCAGCACACAGTGGCGTCCGGGGCACTGTCTCTGACGACAGCAATCTCCTTCAGCTGTGGATCTTTAGCACATCTCATGTGAGCCATGCCGGTGAGTCACTCCGACCACTGTGCTCCGTGCATCACGCTCAGGGAGCAGGTCCTCACCACTGCCTCAGCATCAAAAGGACCGGACGCCCCTCACTCAGTTGCCAGGCAACACAGGGTCACCTCAGTCCCTCTATTCTGTCCAGAGCATCTGTGAGTTTCAGCCCATGTCTGTTCATTCAGGATGCCAGGAATGCTCAGGTCGGGGGCACCTGTGAACACTCAACATTCAAAGCAGGGTCTAGGGCTCAAGCTGGGCTCCTGCATTTGTGGAATGATGGATTAGGCTATTCTTCTGCAGAAAAACATGGACAGTGCCAGACATACCTTTTAAAAAACAATCTTCTGGACCCGGTGTGGTAGCCTAGCAACTAAAATCCTCGCCTTGAATGTGCCGGGATCCCATATGGGCGCCAGTTCTAATCCTGGTGGTCCCGGTTCCCTTCCAGCTCCCTGCTTGTGGCCTGGGAAGGCAGTACCCAAAGCCTTGGGACCCTGCACCCACACGGGAGACCTGGAGAAGGCTCCTAGCACCTCACTTTGGATCAGCTCAGCTCCGGCCGATGCGGCCGATTGGGGAGTGAATCAACAGACAGAAGACCTTTCTCTCTGTATATCTGACATTGCAATAAAAATAAACAAATCTTTTTTAAAAAGTTTTTACAAAATAATAATAATAATAATAATAATAATCTTCCCAGGGCTGGCAGCATGGGGTATAGGCTAGGCCTTAGTCCGTGGCACCAGCATCCCACACAGGAATCCATTTGTGTCCTGGCTGCCCCACTTCCCTTCTAGCTCTCTCCCTGTGGTATGGGAAGGCAGTGGAGGATGACCCAAGTCCTTGGGACCCTGCACCCAAATCGGAGAGCCAGAGGAAATTCCTGGCTCTCAGCTTTGGACTGACCCAGCTCTGACCGCTGTGGCCATTTGGGGAGTGAACCAGCAGACAGGAGATCTCTCTCTGTGGCTCTGATTTCCAAATACAAAGTAAATATTAAAAGACACGATCTTCCTAGAAGATAAAGGGTTCAGAAGACGATGAGGCAAACAGAAAGCAACAGTGGAGCCAAAGCTGCCCCCCGTGCAGCAGCCACGTTGCCAGGAAATGGTAAAGTCTTTGTTCCCCATGATAAACACAGAGACTGTAGTTCCGGTTCGAGCCTCTAGCAGGAAGCCCTCCCCAAGGTCCCGCCCAGGAGGAGGGCCAACCACGATCAGTACTCAGATCTTGCACTTGACGCAGAGTAGTACTACGTCAGCAGTGCTTGGGGGCAAGCGGAAGAAGCAAACGCACGGAAGAGAGGATCCTCAGCCTAGTGCTCCGTGGCTCTAAGACTTCACATTGTTTTTTTTTTTTAAGACTTATTTAGTTTTATTTGAAAGGTATATATACATACTTTAGCCTCTAGGCTACTGCGCTGGGCTGAAAAAACATTTTTAAAAAGGCAAGAAGAGCTAAGAAACCAGAGCAACTTGGACAAACAGAAGCAGATTTTCATTTCAGTCAATATAACTGTACAAATTATTCTCTTAACTGTTCAGTTTCTAAAGTATCAAACTCCAGGAAACCTAAAAAAATGAGTGTTACAGGAACCCTGTGATAGGTGTGTGTGTATGAAAATTATGAACATGTACAAACCATGAAAGAAAAATCTTGAGGGAGCTGATTTTGAGAAGAAAAAGCAGGGAAAGCAGATGCACAGGCTGCTGCCACCCTGCTCTGCCGACTCCTCACCGCTGACGGTAACTTCCCTCACTCCGAGGGTCCCTCGGTGGCTGCAGGTCTATCCTACCAGGCAGCCCTAGCCTTTCTATGTGTGGCAGTGACAGCAGGGCATGCCACTCTAGGTACCATATGGTATGCCTTCACATTACAAGCAAAACTGATGGGGAGAGAAAGCTACGGTATGGTACATAGTATGGCTTAACTTTAAAGAAAATTGGGCCCAGCGTGACAGCCTAGTGGTTAAAGTCCTCGCCTTGCATGCGCCAGGATCCCATATGGGTGCCGGTTCTAATCCTAGCGGCCGCACTTCCCATCCAGTTCCCTGCTTGTGGCCTGGGAAAGCAGTCAAGGACGGCCCAAAGTCTTGGGACCCTGCACCCGCGTGGGAGACCCGGAAGAGCTCCCGTCTCCTGGCTCCAGATCGGTGCAGCACCGATCATTGCCACTTGGGGAGTGAACCATCGGATGGAAGATCTTCCTCCCTGTCTCTCCTGCTCTCTGTATATTTGCCTTTCCAATAAAAATAAATACATTGTTAAAAAAAAAATTAAAGAAAATTTGTACTTCCTGGGGACCAGAGCCATGGGCATAGTAGGCTAAGTCTCTGTGGCACTGACATCCCCTGCGAGCGCCAGTTCGTGTCCCACCGCTCCACTTATTTTTATTTTAACATTTATCAATTCTTGGGCCCGGTGCTATAGCAAAGTGGTTAAAGTCCTTGCCTTGCACGTGCCGGGATCCCATATGGTTACCAGTTTTAATCCTGGCGACTCCGCTTCCCATCCAGCCCACTGCTTATGGCCTGGGAAAGCAGTCAGGGAGGGCCCAAAGCCTTGGGACCCTGTACCCGCGTGGGAGGCCCAGAAAAGCTCCTGGCTCCTGGCTTCAGATCAGCTCAGCTCCAGTCATTGCAGCCACTTGGGCAGTGAACCAATGGACGGAAGATTTTCCTCTCTCTCTCTCCTGCTCTCTGTATAACCGCTTTTCCAATAAAAATAAATAAATTTTGAAAAAAATTATTTATCAATTCTTATTAGAAAGGCAGATGCACAAAGAGAGACAGAAAGGAAGATCTTCCAATCACTGTCTCGTTCCTCAAATGGCCACAGTGTTCAGAGCTGAGGCGATCCGAAACCGGGGCCAGGAGCTTCTTCCAGGTCTCCACATGAGTGCAGGGTCCCAAGGACATCACCCATCCTTTGCTGCTTTCCCATGCCATAAGCCGGAGCTGGAAGGGAAGTGGAGTGGTTGGGACATGAACCGGTGCCCATATAGAATCCTGGTGCTTGCAAGGTGAGGATTTAGCTGCTGAGCCATCATATTGGGCCCTTACAGCTTCACTTCTGATCCTCCTTCTTGTTTACTGGCTGGGAAAGCAGTAGACAATGGCCGGAGTGCTTGGGCCCATGCCCATGTGGGAAACCCAGAGCAAGCTCCTGGGCTTGCAGCGGCTCAGCTCTGGCCGTGGGGGATCGAAGACCACTCTCTGTTTCTCCCCTCTCTGTAACTCTTCCAAGTAAAAATTAAACTTCAAAGAAAATTCTAAAAGCTCTATTTATCTGAGAGAGCCATGACATAGTATAAATAGTATATATTAATATACTAATATATTAATGCATACTATAGCATAGTGTATAATACAGCATGGATCTAAGCATCTTTAAGATTCTTTCTTTTTTTAATTTGAGAGGGACAGAAAGCAAACAAATATCTCTCACCTGCAGATTCACTTTTTAAATGCCCACTAGCTGGGGCTGGGCCAGGCCCGAGTCGGGAGCCAACAACACTCTGGGTCTCCCTCCCACACGGGTGGCAGAGGCCAGTTACCCGAGCTCGAACCTGCTGTCTCCCAAGGTGCACGCTGGCAAAAAGCTGCAGGCAGGATCGGAGCTGGGACCCAAACCCAGGCACTCCACTAGGCAAAACCGCTTCAGAGCCGTCCGAGGGAATGTAACGGGGAAGGCTCCCGGACCACTGCTCCCTACAGTTACACGAGAGGCACCTGCTTGGCATGAGCTGAAAGGGCAGTGCCAAGGGCAAAGCACAGGGTGGGTGCAGCGGGGCAGCATGTTGGCCGTCACCTGGGACACTGACATCCCACGTCAGAACCCTAGCTTGAGTCCTGCCCGCTCCACTTCTACCTGGTTTCCTGTTAAAGCCCCCAGGGAGGCAGTAGCTGATGGCCGACGCCTGGGTCGTGCCTCACACAGGGAGAGCAAGCAACGATGCCTACTTCCTGGCTGCCGCCTTAGTGTTTCAGAATGAGCCAGCAGACAGGAAGTCTTTCTGTCTCTCTGTTTCTCTCCATCTCTGCCTTTCAAACAAGTAAGTCTAAAAGTAAAGAAAGACAGAAAACAATGCCAGGCAGCAAATACGGTCTTTTCTATCAATGCTTAAAGTGAGAGCTCTGAAGAATGAGCAGCAGTTGTCAAACTTGCAAATGTCAAATAAAACACACCTTCTGGGGCAAAGTAACTGCTCATTTCATGGCTATTTCCAAAGTCTCATTGAAAATGCCTTGTTTATATATCATATAGTTTATAGACTTGGTCATCGTAATGATAAACAGCATGGATTACAAAGATGGGACTATGGTGCTCAGAGAAAGGCTGTGTCCCTGGGCCAGACACAGAGCCCATGAGCGACTCAAATCAGTGCGGGCCACTCTTCTCTCAGTTACAGGCTCCTCTACCACCTTCTCACAAACAGCTGAGAACGGCCAGGAGACAGTAAGTTTGCAAGGAAATAACTGCTTCTCCGAGCCATAGTTTCAAAAGCCAGAAGTATGTGAAAATGTAACCACACGGAGCAGTTAAAAAGGCACCTTCGGGTCACCCTGTCACAGCCTGAGTCACAGGCTCCGGTGAGGTTGGCCACAGGACAGTACCTGCGGAGAGGACGCCGTGGTTGATTCTCGGCATGCTCAAGGGCGCCAGTTCGATCCACAGCTGCCTGTTGGGGTCATAGAGCGGGCACATGCACCGCATTGCAGCCGTCGGTTTCCGGGACCTGAAGAAAAGCAGCGTGATGAGATGGCACAGGGCCCTCCACAGTCCTACTTATAGTAAAGGTGACGTTTTGGCACACTAAAGACGGTTAAAACATTAACAAACTGGACTGGAATTACGCTCAAGTACTGAAGATATCCGTGTTCACACATAACTACACCTGCAAACAACTCGGCCAGCACTTACACTCTCTCTTCCCCACCGACAGTCACGATGCACTCCGAGTAGCCCCGGGGCTTGAAGTTGGCCAGCATGGCTTCTCCTTGCTGTGGCTGGCTCAGGGGGATATTGCTGCATTCTTTGACAATTTCTCGAACCAGCGGTTCATTCAACATCTGTTCCCGTAAATAACTGGAGTCCAACCCAGAGACCCAGAGTGCTGACATGACATCCTTCATGTGCACCTGCAGGAGGAGGAGAGAGGATGGGATGAAGAAGCCATGGATGCAACACACACACACACACACACACACACACACACCCCTTTCGACTCATGAAGAACACACTGCTGGCCATCAGGTTATTCTCAGGCAGGGTCCCCAGGTTACAGGTCCAATTCTGCTTGAATATGCTTTACTGCCCCTTTTGTTCCTATTCCCATAGCCTCAACGAAGAACAACTTAACTTCAAATCAATCAGTTTCTTTTCTTCTATGTGAGATGCCAGTTTTGCTTATACTCCAAAAGCTTCCATTCCAATTGATAAACAGAGTAAAGAACAGCTAATTTGCTTTCCTTTGCGTATTTAGGGGCACAGGCATAGCAATGATCTATAGGGCAACAGCTCAATACACTGTGGTAAACTAAAAAAAAATCAACATAAATATTGTAAGAAAATAAAGTTCAATAAACACCTGGAGTGCAAGGCAGTTACTTCTGCAGTAATTACTGTTCAAAAATACTGAAGCTATGTAACGTGTCGCTCAGGCAGCGTAACTGACTAGCACACTCTACCTACATAAGGTGGAACTCTGTAATGAGTCACCCGTTAACTGACATATTCAGGAAATCTTCCTTGGTGTTCACTCACGCCAGGTAAGGTATGCTCTTCTACAGCCAGGAATAAAGGCATAAAGTTCAGCTTGGCCAAAGAACAGAGCACTGCCTCGTTTCCCTAGCAACCAGTGTCCTCAAGTATCCCCACACCTTCAGGCGAGAGGAGGGGAAGAGCAGGCGAGCAGCGGGCTGCTGCTGGTGGGCCTGGTGAGTGGCAGCAAGTTGGACGCTTCCAGTCCCTTCTCTCGCTGGGCCCACAAACAGGAAAAAGAACCAAGTGTTCCTTCTAACACTAAGGTGACACACACAGCCTCCAAATGGGCGTCCTCAGAGGCTTACAGAATTCAAAACATACAAGAGAGCCACTGAAACCCTTAGTGCATGGCCCATTTGGAATCCACTCTGTAACTGACCTGACGCATTTTCCCCCCACTGTGAGAACGGCAACTGAAGGCTCTCATTGGAAAGGATCAGACACAAACACTGCGATCCCGTTCCCTACCCAACAGGAGTCCCAGCTGCAGGCTGACATTTTCTCAGACCTTCTTTCTGTAAGATTGGGTCACCCCCAAATCCCTCCTCACACGAACTCCAGCGCCCTCCTGCTGTCTCACTCCAGGCAGGGAGCACCCCAGCGCTCCCTTGCTGCCCTCCTGCCAGGGCCAGATCCCAGGGGGCAGGGTGCTGACAGCAAGGGTGGGATGCCACCTTTCTATAACCTCCACGTGTGCTTGAAATTACTTCTCCACCAAAGGCAGTATGCACAGCATGCTCCTTCCACGTGTCAACATTCCCACTGACAGACTCGGAGCTATGCAGGTTCTCAGTCTGGTCTGAAAAACTAAATAGTTTAATGACAGACGGGAAGGCATTCAGGTCACAGCTCTCCAAGTCTTTCTGAGCGAGGAAGAACAACCAAAGCACCGTAAGGCTAGATTACAAATAAATACCAGATCAAGTTAGAAACCACATGCACCTTTCTGATTTCGGTGTCGTGGGCTATCCACCGGATGACAGCTTCAAATACATATTTTTCATTGCCAACGTTCAACTTCTCAAGAGAAATCACTTCTTTGAGCTTCTGAGGACTCAGTTCGAGGAATTCTTCGGTGCTGCTGACATCTCGGAAATGCGTCTCCAGGTATTCTGTGGCCAGGTAGTGGACGTGATGCAGGCAATAATGCAGCGCAAAATCCCGGATCCCGATGCAGTTCTCGGCAGCAATGCAGCCCTCTAAGAACTCACAGCACAGGGTCTTGAGGTCCGTCAGCAGCAGCAGGTCGGCGGCCTGGACGACGTCCTGGATCGTGTCTTCGTTTAACCTGATCTGGAAGGAGAGCATAGTCATACTGAAATGCACAGATCTGTAACACAAACACTGATCTTTCAGGCTGAACCATAAGAAATTTTTATAGGTTGAAAATCATCAAATACTGGCAATTTCATGTAGATTTCACCTAGCACTTTTTCCACAGCCTGAGGGTACCAAGGAAGTTTCTACCAATGCAAGTAAACAGAAGCTTGGTGAGCTTTCCACAACTGTCATGTTCTAGGGAGAACTTGACCTGCACAACTTGGAAAAACTCTGGCTGGCTGCCACGCCCAGGAGCTGAGGAGTGCCACCTTCTGCAGCACGCGGAGGCAAGTCCACCAAGTGCAAAGGCAAACAGGACGGAGCTCCTCCAGGACGCCGTGGAAGCCCCATGCTGTGGTGCCCACAGCAGTTTGGTCCAAGGCGTTCCTCTTCATCAGGAATGTCTGCTTTCCATCTACCTCCCTCAGTGCTTGGCTTGCACCTGCTCCTTGGCTGACTCACAGTTTTCTGTGCAGCACACGGCGGTGTAAAGAAACAGGTGCTGAAATACCGCCCCGTCAGCCGACTCCCTGGTTGGGTCTTCCACTGCCGCTCAGAAAGAGAGGAACGGAGCCAGACAGAGCAGAAACACTTCACCACATTTCACACGTGGAGTATGACAGATTAAACAACAACTAGGTGTACACAGCTGTCAACTGTCTCAGGAACTAGGTAAAACAGCTGGAGAGCTGTGCAAGTGGGACATTGTCACGCACATGATCTGCTCGAGTCTCATGATAGCAGACTATTCAACACGACGTGGGAAAAGCTCAATCTGCCACTTAAGTTACAACTAAGGCATTACACTTAAATTGGAAAGAAACTGTAAGTAAGGCTTCCAGCTCTGATACCCAGCTTGGCATGACAGGCTCTGCTGACTGCTGGGCCATCTCTGCAGGAGAGCCAAGAGGTTGCTCTCGAGCCTGGCTCTCGGAAGCCACACAAGAGATCCAGCGTTGTAAGAGCAGCTCGCAAACAATTCAAATCCCCTCGTCTGTTGAGCAATTACAGAAACCACAGCCACCTTGAGCTTATGAGAAAAGATAAGGTAGGGGCAACACCATGAAACCAAATCAGACGCTTTGAAAAGGATGAGAGTCACCGCACTTAACTTGGGACAGGAGAAGCATGTTCAGAGAGAGCAAGAAGTACACCCAGAAAATACACAGGAGAGACAGTCCTTCCAGCAGGGGAAAGTAAGGCAGCAGTGATGAAAAAGGATGCCAGGCTGGGGGTAAGTTCCAAGAAGGAAGAAAGAATACGATGCCACATGGCTGTGGGTCATGTACACGGACCTCCTCCTCCGTCAGTCAGCACCAACTCACACCTCCTGCTTTTCTGGAGGACCACGTGAACACTGTCCATCACCAAATGGGGGCAGGTGGGTGGAGGACAAAGGAACAGAAAGAAACTTCCTCGATCTGCAGATATACAATGGGGTGAGAGGGGCTGGGGCAAAGACGCAGGCAGGTGCCTCTGTGGCAGCAGGACCACAGAACCACCACTAGAGTAAGGGGCGCTTGCATGACTCCCCTTTCACAGGAATCAAAACTAAGGGACTCTTCTCTTCTACAAAATAAGCTCCAGTACCCAGGAAGCCACAGACACAGGCCAAGTTCCCCGCAAGGTGGGCACAGGGCGAGTTTAGATTCAAGATTCAAAAACAAAAACCCAAAAAGCAGCACAGCATCCTGTGTTCTCACCTCGCACACCGGCAGGTGCGGTTCAGAGTGGCAAAAACGCGCACTCGGATTGGGGTCTGGGATGCTGCTTTGTCTGCTGCTCTTTCAGGAGCTGAGCCCTAGAAGAACACACACGGGGTGTCGTGACCAGGAGAAGCACACAGTGACAGAGGGTGAGGATGGCAGTGTCGCTTGGCCGAATAACAGACGACCCTCGGCCTGAGCTCAAGAAGCCTCTACTCGGGTCTTCTCCCCTCTGACTCTCGTCATACCTGCCCACTGAAGATGTAATCCAGGATCTCTCTCATAACCATTACCGATATCCCTTCAAGTTCAATCTTATAAGTTGATCCATCATCTTTTGGAGGATTATAGTTTAATTTTGTCCTAAGAAAGGGAGAAAAATGTAAAATTTCTATGAAAACACAGAAACAGCTATAAATACTTATACTCTAAATACTCTACAAAGAATACGACACTTAACAGTATGTGAAGCCGCACCTAGAAAATTCAGTTTCAGTTAAATCAACATATTTTTTTTAATAACTTTTACCTAAAAACATTGGTCCTTCTTAAAGGACAGAGGACTGAGATCCCTACAGGCATGAATTTTCATTTTTCCTTGGGAATCCAGTCCTGAAAGCCGAGTTATATCATTAATGACCTCATTCTTTTCAGTAATGCAAGGACACACAGATCTGCCACCCCCAAACCAAAGCTCAGACCTCCCAAAGCCTGCTTTCTGCCCGACAGAAGTATCCTCCGAATTCCTGATGACCAATGTTCCCTTGCTGCTTCTTTATTATCAGACTTATCTACATTTCAAGCTGTTCGCAATCTTATCAAGGCATAAGTGTCGCCCTGGGTCTTTGTTTTTTTCCGCTAGATGACATTTCACCATTGTCAGCCTCTGGGTTGCTTCCAGGTCCCTGGTACTACGAGCTGGCAGCGTTGCTGGACTGTAATCGTACGCATCTGTTTAGGCACAGTGGCCGAGCATTCCCTTGGGCACACCGCTGGCAGAAGTGGGAGCAGCTCACCACCTCTTCCAAGTGCACATGGATCTGTAAACTCTCATCGCCCGCCCACCCAAAGTTCTGCGTTTGCCTCCTTGCCCGGGTGCCAGCTTCACAGGCCTGGGCTGCTCATTTCTGACGACACCTGCTTGGGCGATGTCTCTTGCTCACTCTGCTGATTAGCTACCCTGTACAGACACAGGAATTCTTTAAACATTCTTGGTATCATTTCTCTGGTAGGCTTTTTTTTTTAAAAGATTTATTTTTATTATTTTTTCATTGGAAAGGCAGATATACAGAGAGGAGAGACAGAGAGGAAGATCTTCCGTCCGATGATTCACTCCCCCAGTGAGCGCAACGGGCCGATACTATGCCGATCCGAAGCCAGGAGCCTCTTCCGGGTCTCCCACGCGGGTGCAGGGTCCCAAAGCTCTGGGCCGTCCTCGACTGCTTTCCCAGGCCATAGGCAGGGAGCTGGAAGGGAAGCGGGGCTGCCGGGATTAGAACCGGCGCCCATATGGGATCCCGGGCGTGCAAGGTGAGGACCTTTAACCAATTGCGCCACCGCGCTGGGCCCTGGTAGGCTTTTTTTAAAAAAAAGATTTATTTTTAAATTTTATTGGAAAGTCAGATATACAGAGAGGAGATCTTCCATCCGATGGTTCACTCCCCAAGTGGCTACAACAGCTGGAGCTGAGCTGATCCGAAGCCAGGAGTCAGGAACTCCCTCTAGGTCTCCCACACGGGTGCAGGGTCCCAAAGCTTTGGGCTGTCCTCGACTGCTTTCCCAGGCCACAGGCAGGGAGTTGGATGGGGAGTGGGGCTGCTGGGATTAAAACCAGTGCCCATATGGGATCCCAGTGCATGCAAGGTGAAGAATTTAGCCACTAGGCTACTGCGCTGGGCCTGACCTTTTTTTAATATATACTACAAAAGATGAAGAACAGCTGAAGAATACTTTTTTCATTATCAACAGTTTTATGTGCCTTGTTTAAAAACTTGTTTCTTAGCTAAGATGAAAAGATATCACTGATACTCTTTTCCAAGAATATTTAAGGTTTCTAAACACATATATTGCAGTGAATTTTAAAGTTACTTTGTAGCACGCAGCTGAAAGGCAGCTCTGCTAGATCCTGGGATGGTGTAGATATGTGTCACTTTAAGTGACACGTAACTCCCTCTTCAAATATTGGGATCCGAGTAGCAACAGCCTTTAAACCCATTATTGGTATTCAGACTTCTATGATAGTATAATGAAGACAATGAAGAATTAGATTTTTGGAACACAGAAAACAAAGTGAAGAAAGTAACAGTGACTCCAAAATAAATTTTTTTAAATTGACAGCAGTATTTGAGTATCTCAACTGCCACAATCTGAAAGACTTGTCTTTCTAGTTACTCTACGGTGGAGGGCCCAGACCGAAGGGACCAACGGCCAGGGCCTCCCCAACTTCAGTTCACCCAAATCAGCGGGAGATCCTGCCAAACAAGCCCGTCTTGACCTGGAGGCCCGCAGCACGCTCTGGGGAGGAGCAGCAAGGGGTTAACCAAGGCTTCTTAAATGTGGCTTTGCGTTTCTAACACATTCTTGCTGAATATTTTGTAAAATGTGTTAACATCAATTACTAGAAAAATGAAATTTTAAAAAGACATTAATAAATTCAGGCCCCAGTGATTTATGATAACAGACACCAACTGCACTGCCAATCGTTGAATTTCTAATTCACACTCCCCGGGGCAGTGCTCAAACCCCATGGTGGGTGACAGTACACAGACCCCACCAGTCTGCAGTGACAATCATCTGCCTGCCCAGAGCAGGGAGCGAGGGAGAGCAGGTGCCAGTCCCGTGACCGTGGAGCCATTCACACGCACTTCCGATGGCGAGCTTCACGCAGCATCTCAAGCCCCCGCCTCCCTCCTCCGTGGGAAGCAGCAGCAGCCTGCACACCTGCCTCCCTCTCCCTTTGTCTTCAGTTTCTCCAACCCCACAGTTTAACTCTCTCACACTCCACCTTCTGTTTCCCATTTCTTTCCTTCAGTATAATCTAATTTTTCTAGTTTTTACTAATGAATTGTCCTCTCTTCTTTAGCTCCATTTTCTCCACGAATTTTCCCGTAATCTAGCATTTTCTTAGCTTGCACAATGCTTCTACCTCTGTACTGAATAAGCCAATGAATAACAACACAACAGCTAAGCGAAGGGGCTGGCAACCAAGCACCCACGCTGTGGAGCTGGCTACATGTCAGCCGCTCTTGGTGCTGCTCCCCCACCCCGAAGCCACCGAGTTCTCCACAGACCTGCTGAAGTCACAATTCACCTGACCGCTTAGGCAATGTCACTTTACAGAGCTGGCTCAGACAATGCAGCAGTCTTAAACCTTGAGAATCTCCCCTTGAGTACAACCCAGAAATAAGTGGGAGCACTACAGAATGGGCTGACTCTGTGTCATTGGTACAATCTTCCTGGATGGTCCATGTCCCAGGACAAGAACCTCTCTCTTACTCCTTTTTCTCATTCATAAGTGGAAGACAGCACACAGCCGATTCCAGGCCTCTTCCCTTCCTGGGCTCCTAACAACACTGACAATTAAAAAAAAAAAAGTCTTCAAAGAAAATAAATGTTGCTGGTTGCCATGCTAATGAAGCTGGTTTCACATTCATGCCGTGGTCTGTAACTTTTTAGGAACCATAATACAACCAAAGTGATGCGCAGGCGCAGGGTATGCCCAGTCTGACGGTGGTCAGTACATCAGATACAACAGCCCAGAGAAGCCAGACTGCTCCTCTCTCCCCAGAATCATTGTAGACACATTTCTAAATGGGGTTGATGGGACAATGACAGAGAGTAAACCTAAGTGACTTTTCCTCCCCTCTCATGCAAAAGTAGTTGCCAATAAAAGCAAGGCAATGTCCTCAAACAGGTTTCAAGCCAAGTTATGTCCAAGAAGTCAAGTTGCACAGCGAAGCTGGGCTAACTCATGAATATGACGCAGCTGGTTCCAAATGAGTCATGCCCCTGCAGTTGTGTAGCAGTCAAGCCCAGACTCTTAGGGTGCAAGGTGAGGAGTCTGGGCTCGTCCTGTCACTGTCCCCGTAAGCCAGATGAATGCCCAGCGCGGTGGTGTTTACAGATGTCCCCTACCATTCCTTTTTTGACTTCATGAGCTCCTGAGGGTCACATCAAAATGGATCTTCAGGCTACAAGATTTCTGGGTAGTGAAACAACCAACAGGTACGACAGTGATCAATACATGCCATCATCCATTAGCTCACAGCCATGATGCCCAACTCTGAGAGACGCTCACCTACATGGAGGTCTCCGGGTGACAGCACTGTCGCCCACATGCACACTCTCCAGTGAAGTGTGCTGATCACGCAGGGGGCTGTGTATGGGTGGGGTCACAGGGAGGAGAAAGATTTCTGAACCTTCTGTTCAGTTTTGTCATAAACCTAAAGTGGTTATAAAAAGTCTTTTTTGTTTATAGCCTGGTGTGATAGCCTAGTGGCTGAAGCCCTCACCTAGCATGCACTGGGATCCCATATGGGTGCTGGTTAATGTCCCAGCTGCTCCACTTCCCTTCAAGCTCCCTGCTGTGGCCTGGGAAAGTAGTATATGTTGGCCCAAAGCCTTGGGACCCTGCACTCACGTGGGAGACCTGGAGGAAGTTCCTGGCTCCTGGCTTCAGATCAGCTCAGCTCCAGCCATTGTGGCTATGATGAAGTAAACCATCGGACGGAAGATCTTTCTGACTCTCCTTCTCTCTGTATATCTGCCTTTGCAATAAGAACAAATAATTTTTTTTAAAAAAAAAAAGCTGTTTTTGTTTGTTTTTAAAAATATTTTTAAGGATCTTTTTGGCCCCAATTCAATTTCCTGAAAGATTAGTTAAGATCTCCACACGGGCCTCTCCTGGCACAGCTTTGAGGGCAGAGCAGAACCCTGCCTAGCTCTTAGTTTCTATCATCCAGATTTCCATGTGTCTGGAAGAAAAGCATCTACACAGACGCCCACCCCGTGACCAGGGTCTGGGACAGATGCACTGGAATTGTGTACTGGGTGCCCGGGGCCTGCAGCAAGCTCCTCTCTTCACAGCACCATGAAGTGCCACAAGCTAATGGAGCATCAACATATTCCTCCTGCATAACAAAGCCAGGTCAGGGAGTACTGAGGAAGGCCAAGAAACACCGTGACAGGACAGGGATGGACTGTGTGACCTGCCAGGGGCTGCCACCAGCCCGCATCGGTGCACCTGCAACACATGGAAAACGGGAATGGGCTCTGCGCCCCTTGTTGCTCTTGCTGCCCTAGAGCTGCACTGCCGCAAGAGTGGGACTCAGCACTATTCCTTTACTTTCATCTCGTCTACCTTCCCTCCATTCACATCTCTC